TGTGACTAAAAAGAAAGAAAGTAAAATTCATTTGCCTACATAGCCTGTGAAAACCAATAAGAAGTTTTCGAGTATATATTATTTTCAGTTATTACTTTCCCTGAACTTATAGCTGAAACCCTTTCTCTTGCATACTTTTTCCTTTCAAATTCATGATATAATTCAAAACAAATCCGAGGTTATGACTTACATCGCCTTTGTGAGACTGTTCACATAAAACAATCCTTTTCTCAAATCTCCAAATCAGTGATCCTTAACATCCGAACTATCTATATTTAGGCGGAGAGGAAATATATATACATATATTACATATGCAATATGCTATGGAGACATAGCTACGCGTGTGTGTGTATTTAACCTGAATACTCGCAGTCTAGCAAACTGGCCTACATTTCTTCACGACCCACGTGAAGGGGAGTCGTGAAGCCTTCCAAGAAGTCTGCGGGATGGGCCTGTTCCTCGTCACCAGTTTCTAAGATGTCTTCGTCGCACCGTCCTGCGGTCTTAGTCTTCACCAGATGCGTGACGGTGCAAGTGAAGTCACAAATGAAGGCTTTCTGAGAGAAAATGACAATTAAGGAACCTCTCACAATTTTCGTAAGAGATTTCAGGTTCAAAAAGCAATGCAATATTTTGCAGAGAAATTTGCTTAGAATCATTTTGCATTTGTATATTTTAACATCTTATTGTGTATATATATATAATATATATATATATATATATATATATATATATATATATATATATATATATATATATATATATATATTTATATATGTATTATGAATGTATATATAATGTATATATTATATATGTGTGTTTTATGTATATATACCATATATATAAGTGTGTATCATACATCTCTTCTCTCTCTCTCTCTCTCTCTCCGCTCTCTCTCTTGCTCTCTCTCTCGCCTCTCTCTATGGAATTCTAATATTTTATATATTATATATATATCATCTAATTGTAATTATAAAATACATACATAAAAAAATAAAAATAAACGCCAAGTATAAAGCAACCTCAGCAGAAACATCAAGGTGACCGGTAATACTCCGCTCCGCCCACAGCACTCTCCATGCTCATCTTCAGGGAGGAGTTTGTTTGCTCAAAGTATATAAGTAGATGGAATCGGTCTCAGTGCATCACACATTCTATCATCACACACCATGGCATTTAAGGTAAGATGCCAGAGGAAAGACTCGCGCTTAAAAAGGAAAAAGTGAAGAGTGTCTTCTACTATGTGTTAGTCATCATAGTTACACTTCTTTTTATTATATATGTCAGTGAACTTTTCGTCATAACATTCCTGATGTTGCAGGTATTTGCACTTGCCGCCCTTGTGGCCGTTGCCCTTGCCCGTCCTGAGAACATTCCGTCCTATGGCTATGGTGCCCCAACGCCCTCTTCAGGACCTGCCAAGTACGACTTCAACTACGCCGTCAACGACCCACCATCTGGAAACGACTTCGGTCATCAGGAGGCCCGAGATGGCCCTAACACTCAGGGTTCCTACTACGTCCTCCTTCCCGACGGTCGTCTGCAGAAGGTCACCTACACCGTCAACGGCGATTCTGGTTACGTGGCCGATGTCACCTACGAGGGTGAGGCCTCCACACCACGCCCCTATACACCCGCCCCTCAGTATGGGTAGATATTGTAAAATCTATGTATATAAATGATTTAATAAACTAGCATATTTATGGCGTTCTTTGATATCTTTATATGGAGATTATTAGTATGTATGTTTCTGTTTGTTTTGTATTGAACTCTGAGCTAAAGAAAAAAAAAGAAAATACTTTCGCTGAAAATATAAACGAAACTCGTGCAGTTCACAGGCTTTGTAAGCATGGAAATATAAGAATGATAATAATAATACGGCAGTGAAACTGACAGGGAGGAGAAGTGATAGCAAAAATACTATAGCGTTCTTTGATATCTTTACAGGGATAACTCAAAAGTGCGATTAGTGAAAGTGAAGTAGAAACGAAATAGTGGCATCGTTTAGAAACTAAAGTACTTAACACTGAACCTCAAAACACTATCAGACCAATCTTTATCACAGCCAAGGGCATCGAACAAGTTTGATGAAAGCATCACCTTCTCAGCCAATTCTGAAACTCGGCCTAAAAGGAAGCAAACCACAGGCATATAATCAGGTAGGAATTCGCAGAGAATCATGCAGAAAATTCGGGGTTTATGCGTGTTACAGTAGGACCATGATCCATGCGTGTTCTTGAAGGTGACATTTGTTGAATACCTTTGCCGTTTAATTAGCAGGCGATCCACGTAACTGAAACCAGGATTGATGTAACAACTATTAACCGCAAAGCAAAGGAAGTAATAAATATCTAGCAAAACGGAAGAATCTTTGAAATATAGGGATAGCTGGGGACCAGACATACTACCTTAAAATATTAAAATAACTAAAGAGGTCGGTATTGAGATCAATATCAATTATTGATAGTATCGTTTTATCTTATATCTACATTTTTTTCCAGAAGAAAAGAAACACTATTTCTACAGTGAAACTCTTGCCTAAATCGTGATTTTTATTTGTTTATTTATCTATTTATTTATTTTATTTTTTTATTTTTTTTTTATTATTTATTATTTTTTTTTTCTTTTTAAGATAGTTATAATTTAATGTACAAGAAATCCAGGACTCAAACAAGCAACATCGTCAAGATATAGAAAGGGGTTGATCGGCTTCGTGCAAGGTTGTACAAGCCTAAAGTAAGCCTGCAAGTACTGTATCGTATTTGCAAAAGGCTGAATAATCTTCGAAGAAAGCAGAAGTCGTTCACATATATTTTAACGGTGTAACTGTAGTCTTTCTTGAAGGGTAAACCATTGTTTAAAAGCAAAGTAAAGGTAAAGGCTTTCTGAATGAGCGAAAACAGCAAATGGCAATTATATTTCGCGCAACTCGTGCCAGGGTCCAAGACAATAAATCAGTGGCATGCGGGAGAAATAAAGATTAATAAAACTGCAGTGGAAGACAGAGCATTAGACTCCTTGTTTTCCATGATCGGTCATTAATATGCTTCCTGTGTACATCGCAGCATAGGCGCTTTACAATTATATTTATATATTTCACAATGAACTTATCATATTGTGTGCATGTATGTGTATAAATATATGTGCATGCTTATATATATATATATATATATATATATATATATATATATATATTATATATATATATATATATATATATATATATATATATATATATATATATATATATATATAATATTTATTCCACTTTCTTACATACACGTGTGTATGTGTGTGTCTAAAGAAATTTAGATTTCGCGGAATGTGTCTACATTATGAGGCAGCAATAGTGCTTACAAATATGAAGGTGACCGGTAATGCACAACTCCGCCCACAACACCATGCTCATCAGTAGGGAGGAGCTCTACTTGCTTACACTATATAAACAGATGGATACACTCCCTGTATGAGATATTCTATCGTCACACACCATTTTGATATTATATGTTTTTGTTTGGCAATATAATGAAATTAATAAATAAATTTACAAACTGATTTTTTTTTTTCATAAGCGAACTACAATACCCCAATTTTCCTTTCAAATTCATGATATAATTCAAAACAAATCCGTGGTTATGACTTACATCGTCTTTGTCAGACTGTTCACATAAAACAACACTTTTCGCAAATCTCCAAATCCGTGATCCTTAACATCCGAAATATTTATTTTTAGGCGGAAAGAAAAATATATATACATATAATACATATACAATATTCTATGGAGACATAGCTACGCGCGTGTGTGTGTTTAACCTGAATACTCGCAGTCTAGTCTAGCAAATTGGCCTACATTCATTCACGACCCACGTGAAGGGGAGTCGTGAAGCCTTCCAAGAAGTCTGCGGGATGGGCCTGTTCCTCGTCACCAGTTTCTAAGATGTCTTCGTCGCACCGTCCTGCTGTCTTAGTCTTCACCAGATGCGTGACGGTGCAAGTGACGTCACAACTGAAGGCTTTCTGAGAGAGAAAATGACAATTAAAGGAATGCCTCTCATAATTTTCGTAAGAGATTTCAGGTTTCAATAAAGCAATGCAATATTTTGCGGGAGAGAGTGAATTTGCTTTAGGACTAAATCAGAATGCAGTGCTTTGGGATCATTTTGCATTATAGTATGTTATCGAACTTCTAACATGTATATGTGTGTGTGTGTGTGTGCACATATATCTATATCTATATATCTATCTATCTATCTATATATATATATATATATGTATATATATGTATATATATGTATATACATGTATATATACTGTATATATATATATGTATGTATATATATATATATATATATATATATATATATATATATATATATATATATATATATATATATATATATATATATATATATATATATATATATATGTATATGTATATGTATCTTATCTCTCCTCCCCCTCCTCTCTCCCTCTCCTCTCTCTTCCTCTCTCCTCTAGCTCTCTTTCCTCTCCATCTCTCTCCTTCTCTCTCTCTCCTGTCTCGCTCTCTCTCCTTTCTCTCCTCTTTCTCCTCTCTACTTTCTCGCTCTTTCCTCTCTCTCTCCCTCTATCTCTCCCCTCTCTCTCACCTCCTATCTATTAATATATATATATATATATATATATATATATATATATATATATATATATATATATATATATATATATATATTGATAGATGTGTGTGTGTGTGTGTGTGTGGTGTGTGTGTATGTAATCCTAACAAGCTTTGTCTTTACATGTAGATCTGTGTATAATTGTGTATATACATGTGCGCGCACATAAAAAATAAGACACTTTTTGTGCAATAACGCCCTAAAGTATAAAGCAACCTCAGCAGAAACATCAAGGTGACCGGTAATACTCCGCTCCGCCCACAGCACTCTCCATGCTCATCTTCAGGGAGGAGTTTTGTTTGCTCAAAGTATATAAGTAGATGGAATCGGTCTCAGTGCATCACACATTCTATCATCACACACCATGGCATTTAAGGTAAGATGCCAGAGGAAAGACTCGCGCTTAAAAAGGAAAAAGTGAAGAGTGTCTTCTACTATGTGTTAGTCATCATAGTTACACTTCTTTTTATTATATATGTCAGTGAACTTTTCGTCATAACATTCCTGATGTTGCAGGTATTTGCACTTGCCGCCCTTGTGGCCGTTGCCCTCGCCCGCCCTCAGAACGGCTATGGCGTCCCAACGCCTTCAGGACCTGCCAAGTACGACTTCAACTACGCCGTCAACGACCCTCCATCTGGCAACGACTTCGGCCATCAGGAGGCCAGAGATGGCCCTAACACTCAGGGTTCCTACTACGTCCTCCTTCCCGACGGTCGTCTGCAGAAGGTCACCTACACCGTCAACGGCGATTCTGGTTACGTGGCCGATGTCACCTACGAGGGTGAGGCCTCCACACCACGCCCCTATACACCCGCCCCAGTATGGGTAGATAGTTTTTTATTTTTGGTAGCCATATTGTAAAATCTATGTATATAAATGATTTAATAAACTAGCATATTTATGGCGTTCTTTGATATCTTTATATGGAGATTATTGGTATGTATGTGTTTATGTTTCTTTTGTATTGCACTTTGAACTAAAAAGAAAAAAATTCTTTTGCTGGAAATATAAACAGTTCACAGGCTATATAAGCATGGAAATATAAGAATGATAATAATAATACGGCATTGAAACTGCCAGGGAGGAGAGGTGATAACAAAATATTATGGCGTTCTTTGATATCTTTACAAGGATAACTGAAAAGTGTGATTAGTGGAAGTGAAATAGAAACGAAATAATGGCATCGTTTAGAAACTAAAGTACTTAACACTGTACTCAAAACACTATCAGACCAATCTTTATCAGAGCCAAGGGCATCGAACAAGTTTGATGAAAGCATTATTTTCTCAGCTAATTCCGGAGTCGGCCTAAAAGGAAACAAACCGCAGGCATACAATCAAGTAAGAATTCAAGAAGAACCATGCAGAAGATTCGGGTATATGTTTTTGTTACAGTAGGACCATGATCCATGCGTGTTCTTGAAAGTAACATTTGCTGAATACCTTAGCAGACGGTTCCCGATATTACAGGTAACTGCACTCGCTACTCTTGTAGCCGTTGCCTCAGAACGGCTTTGGCATCTTCAGGACCTGCCAAGTACGACTTCAACTACGCCGTCAACGACCCACCATATGAGTCATCAGGAGGCCCGAGATGGCTCTAACACCCAGGGATCCTACTACGTCCTCCTTCCCGACGGTCGTCTGCAGAAGGTCGCCTACATCATCAACGGCGATTCCGGTTACGTGACCGATGTCACCTACGAGGGTGAGGACCAGTACCCCTCCACGCCGCGTCCCTATACACCCGCCTCTCAGTATGCGTAGATACAGATTGTTTTCGTGGCTAAGATATATATATATATATATATATATATATATATATATATATATATATATATATATATATATATATATATATATATATATATATATATATATATATATATATATTATAATAAACTAGAATATTGGTCGTGTTCTTTAATATCTGCATATGGATAACTTAGGAAAGAGATTATTTGTATGAGCGTGTCTGTCGTTTTTTATCATAATGATAAAGGATAACATTGTTAATAATTAAGCGTTAAATTTATCTTAAAAATGATTTTTGCAGATTACTTTTGTTTTTTATATTTAAAAGACAGTCCACGCAAATGAAACTAGAACTAAAGAGCTTGATTTAAACAGGAAGACAAAGGAAGTTTGATAATTATGATAATAATAGTATGCACCATCAGAGATAAGAAATTACTAAATATCTAAATATAATATATCAAAAGGGGATTTTAAGATTGGTTGATTGTCTATAATTATCTGCCGACTCAGGTACTGAGACTAACCTCAGTAACCATCAAAACTTAAATTATGGATTTGCTTTCACTAATTACTTGCAGGAGGAGACCTATCCCGACGAAAAAATAATATAATGATAAGAAATATGATAGAATATTATATCATAAATAACTGGTAATACAATCCCTACCATTATCACTCTTATAATGGCAACCGTTGTCGATGTCGTTATAGTTACTGTTGTTATAGTTAATTTTGTTGTTATAGTTAATTATTAAGTTAATTATTGTTGTTATAGTTAATTGTTGTTATAGTTAATTATTATTATTATTATTATGTTATAGTTAATTATTAATTATTGTTGTTATAGTTAATTATTAAGTTAATTATTGTTGTTATAGTTAATTTTCTGTCAATACTGTACAAATATCAATACAGTTATCATCATTGATATTGTTTTTGTTTTTTGTTTTTTTCTTTCTTTCTTTCTTGGAAATGTAATTGTCTAATGGTAAAATTATTATTATCTCATTATTATCCTCCTTGTAAGGCTTATACTTATTCTCTTGGTGGCGGTTGCACTGAATATCCATTCTAGCCGTAATTACATAATGATTATAAGTTTTATCGCCTGTGTTCTTTAAAATCTAATATTTATATCTTTGAGAATACTTTCACTTTGGCTGCCGTGCTACAATTGAATTTAATCTCAAAGATCTGTTTATTTTCCTCCAGTGTAGATGTGTAAGGTTTATATGAGATTTGAAATTACATGCTATCGATACATTAATATTTTGATATTAGCAAGAACATAATTGCATTCTTATATTGGATTCTAATACCAATTTTGAGATCAAACGGAAATGTCAGATTTTGTTTTACCTTTTATACTGTAACCTCATCCAAGTATAGGAATAGGGATGGTCGCTAGTTTTATAAGACGCTTGTGTGGCGGGTTACTGTGCCTCACCCATGCAAGTGACATCATCCACATAATTGGAGTGCTTGTTGACAGCGTTGATTGCGTTTATAGTTTAGTTTAGAGTTTATCTGTGGAACACCACGAAACTGAGCAAACCAGGGTCTTTGTTTTATCGCTACCATAGGCTACGAAACGTATCAGACGATGGGATGTTGAGGATTAGTTGATGTTACACTCAGTTGGACCATAACTGGGTTTGGGAGCAGAGTAATCGTTATGGTTTTCTGAATTGGGATCAGGTTCTCATCCACCTAATCTGTTTTGTTTGTTTTCTTCCATGGCATGTTTTCTTGGGATGTAGCATTTTAGATGTTTTTGTTTTATTTTATTTTGTTCACTGAGATTTGAAGTAATCTGGCCTAAAGGCACACACTCAAATATATATATATATATATATATATATATATATATATATATATATATAATATATATGTGTGTGTGTGTGTGTGTGTGTATGTATGTATGTATAGTATATAGTACACATGTGTGCGAGTGTGTGTGTGTGCACGTGTGCATTGATATGTATGTGTTTGTGTGTGCATTTATATACTGATATGTGTGTACATATATGTACGTATTTAAACATGAATTATTTAAGATATACATATGTGATGTATATAATATATATACATAGTATATAGTACATGTGTGTGTTTGTTATTGATATGTGTATATATTATATACATATATATATATGTATGTAAATATGAAGTTACGGATAGATATGTATATTACAAATCTAAATATGTGTATACATACGTAAGTATGTATATATACAGTATGTGTGTGTGTGTGAGTATGTGTGTGCATATATGCATCTAACCCTATAAACCTATTAGTTAGTATGTGTGAAATCACCGAAGTATATATTTCTTAAAAGTTCAAAATTACGAAGTAGAAAATGTGGTTACAAATATCAAGGTGAATGGGTCTCATCGCTCCACCCACAGCTCTTCATGCTCATCATCAGGGAGGAGCTTAACTAGCTCTAACTATATAAACAGACTGGATCTCTCGTTGTGTCAGATCACCGTCACACACCATGGGATTTAAGGTGAGATGTGAGATGAGTGTACATGGTAAAGTCATTTTAAGTAAGTCAAGAATACGCCGTCTACTTGAAGCTCAAACGAATGACATTGATAGATCCTATACTTTTATTGCTTATCAAGTATTTGTGATTTTTCTACCTTAAAAATGATAAAACAATCCCGATATTGTAGGTAATTGCACTCGCCGCCCTTGTGGTTGTCGCCCTCGCTCGCCCTGAGAACATACCGCNATAATTGCCTACAAAATGGGGAAAATTTAACACTACTGGAGAAAAGTAGAAGACACGAATGTCTTCTATATATACTCTTATGGTTATTCCAGTATTTTCATATGGCTGAAACCATAAACAAAGGCCATATCTTTGGCACATATCACTGTAACATCTCTAACACACAAAGTCGTCTTTTTTTGCAGCTCACCTGAAGTGCCATATTGTCTGACGATGATAGAATATTTGACGCAGTTAGAGAGGTTTCATCTCCTTATATAGCTGGAGCGAGTAAAGCTCCTCCCTAATGAGGAACAAGAAGAGCGCTTTTGTGGCTGGAGCGATGTAACCTTTCCTGTTGAGATTTCCAACCACAATTTAGAGGCCTAATTGTGGATTTTTTTTTTTTTTTTTTTCGCAGGCACCACTTTTTGTTTCTTTGTATACAACTGTCTACAAACAGACGCACGTGTATGTGGTACTGTATATTCGTACTTTATGTATACAGGCATATTCATAAATACATATACATACATGCATATATATACATACACATATGTATGTATATATACAAGTAAAGACCCTCTTGCAAAAATATATATATATATATATATATATATATATATATGTATATTTATGTATATATATACATATATACACATATGGTGTATGTATGTATGTATATGTATGCATGTATATATGTATATATATATAAGTGTATGTATCTTTGTCCATATAAAATTGTTTGCGCATTGTATGTATGTACAAAAAGTAAAGTGTTTTATTTGTGTGTGTCAACGTACAGTAAAATCTATGAATATATTTTATTTTCTGTAAAGAAAAAATGTAGCTGCTTTGGATCCTTGAGTAACTAGCACTTTTCTTTTTCCTTAATCACCATCATTATCCTTGCTATGTGGTTACTTTCCATGCCAGTTAGCATTCCCATAACTGTTATAATATACATAATCTTTAGGCGGTCCTTCTAATTTCCCTGTACCTGAAAGACCTTCCTTTAGATTCTAATTTACTTTACCATTTCTAAATCCATGTAAAATAATCCTTATTAACTAAAATTAAAATTTCCTGCTATTATGACAATCTGATCTGGTCTCCTGTCATTTCACGGACATGGTCTAACAAGTGTCCAGATTTCTATAGGAATATATTCATCTTTACTGAATTTTATTCTTATCTCGGTAAATCCTGACTTAATATATTTTCAAAGCAGAATGCACTGGCAATTATTACCTGCTTAATAATGATTAAACATCTCCCAGTAAGCGATATCAAATGTGTTATACATGTGAAATTTTCAGCTATATTACAATTGTTGGACAGAATTAAGCACCCTCGATCTCATGATTATATAGTTTTTCGTTTGCTTATACCCCGAATCTCCTGCATATTAGAAATTCTCGTTTCGCAATTTTGTCGCCACGGATTTTCATTTATGTGTAAGGTGCTTTACTTACTGAACTAATTATGAATATTATCACAAAGCTTCGCGCATATTCTGTAATCCTTTTCCTCCAGGCTTTGTCGATTTTGGTTTTGTTAGCTCTTGAGATTCTCCTTTTCTGTGCATTACTATATATGTATTTCCATCTGTCAACAGCAATTCCAAGCAATAAATATTATCATAAGACTCTTCATTACTAATTTAAAATTCTTTTGGCTGATTTTACCACTATTTTTACTTTTTTCACGGGCAATAATTTTCCTAATGCTTGTGTTTCGATACGACGATAAAAATTATAGCAATATTATTTCATTACATATATATTGACATTGATAATGAAGAAATCAACAAGGATTATGAAAGGGGATACAGCTAATGACCTCTGTAGGTCTCATACCTGTGTCCTCAGTTATCATTACTATTTCTTCTAAACTCGGTGTTTGGTTTTTGAAAGATGAATATTGTACATAATAAAATCATTTCAGATTATATTGACAATAATCACAATGAAAACGACAATTACAATAAAAGGGATAATGATTGAAATGGAAATATTTNAATCATATTTTTCTCTTCCTTTTTCTACAATATGTCCACACAAAAATACCTTTACACTGATTGTATTTGATATGCAATGAGAAGACACCATTGTTATGCTAGTTTATTAACTTATTTATACATCTACGAACATTATTTGCTAAATAAAAGTATGTTTAAGCATAATGAGGGCGGGTGTATAGGGGGCGTGGTGTGGAGGCATCACCCTCGTAGGTGACATCGGCCACGTAAGAGTCGCCGTTGACGGTGTAGGCGACCTTCTGAGACGACCGTCGGAAGGAGGTAGTAGGAACCCTGAGTGTTAGGGCCATCTCGGGCCTCCTGATGACCGAAGTCGTTGCCAGATGGTGGGTCGTTGACGGCGTAGTTGAAGTCGTACTTGGCAGGTCCTGAAGAGGGCGTTGTGGCACCATAGCCATAGGATGGTGTGTTCTCAGGACGTGCAATTGCAATGGCCACAAGAGCGGCGAGTATAATTGCCTACAAAATGGGGAAAATTTAACACTACTGGAGAAAAAGTAGAATAACACGAATGTCTTCTATAATACTCATATGATTATGCAGATTTTTCATATGGCTGAACCATAAACAAAAGGCATATCTTTGGCACATATTCACTATAACATCTCTACCATACAAAATCTTTTTGCAGCTCACCTGAAGTGCCATATTGTCTGACGATAGAATACTTGACGCAGTTAGAGTGGTTTCATCTCCTTATATAGCTGGAGCGAGTAAAGCTCCTCCCTAATGAGGAACAAGAAGAGCGCTTTTGTGGCTGGAGCGATGTAACCTTTCCTGTTGAGATTTCCAACCACAATTTAGAGGCCTAATTGTGGATTTTTTTTTTTTTTTTTTTTTTTTTTTTTTTTCAGGCACACACTTTTGTCTCTTTGCATACAACTGTCTACAAACAGACGCACGTGTATGTGGTACTGTATATTCGTACTTTATGTTTACATGCATATTCAAATATACATATATTTACGTGCAGACATCTATAAAAAGAAACAAACATATATATGTATGCCAGATAGACTGATAAAGAGACCGGTAAAGATTCTCTTAGAAAGCTATACATGTGTCTATTTATACATTTATGCACAAATGAGTGTATACATTTATGTATGTATATGTATATATGTACATGTGTATGCATGTATATAGTATATATGTGTGTATCTTTGTCCATATAAAATTGTTTGCGTATTGTATATATGTACAACAGGCAAATCAAAAGATAAATAGCTTTTTTCTTTTGTGTGTGTGTCAGCATACAGTAAAATCTATGAATATATTTTTATTTTCTGAAAAGAAAAATGTAGCTGCCATGGACCCTTGAGTAACTAGGGCAAAATGTACTTTTCTTTCTCCTTAATCACCATCATTATTACTTCATATATTGTTACTTTCGATGCCAGTTATGATTTCCATAACTTTTTAAAGCTTATACTTCATTTATTTATTTATTTGTTTAACAATTTATTCATTTAGTTATTATTATTGTTTTTTATAAGCTTTAGGCGGTCTTTCTAGTTTCCCTGTACCCGTAAGACATACCTTCAGGTATTATTTTTTCTCACTATTTCTAAAGCCCATCTAAAATGTCTCTATTGATTAAAATGGCAGTATTTCCCTGCTTCCATACCTATGGGAACTACTTATACATCTAAACTCTGATTTTTGTTGTTATCTCGCAAAAACCTGGCTTAAACAATATATTTTCACTACAGAATGCAATGGCAATTAATAATGCTCCATAATTATTAACTATATCGTAGTAAACGATACCCTAAGTATTCTTCAGGTGATATTTTTTGGCAATACTAAATGTTAGACACAGTTAGGCACCTCGGTCTCCTTACATAATTTTTCTCGAATCTCGTGCATATTAAGAATTCTAATATGCACGGCTATTCGTTTTAGTGTGATCTGTTTTACGTACTGAACTAATTATGAATACTATCATGAAAACTTCCCGCATATCCGGACTTATTTTTTTCTCCTAGGCTTTGTCGATTTTGGTTTTGTTAGTTCCTGTGGTTCTTCTTTTCTGCACATTACTATTTATATGTTTCGATCTGTCAGCAGCAACTCCAAGCAATAACTATCATTATCGTCATTACAAATTTTAAATTATTTTGGCTGATCTTATCATTATTTTTACTCTTTTCACGGGCAATAATTTTCCTAAAGCTTGTGTTTAGATGTGACCATGAAAATTACAGCAGTATATTGATTATATATATTGGCAATGGTAATAATAAAGAAAACAACAATAAATATGAAAGTGGATAAAGCTAATAACCATTTTAGATAAACGATGGCAAGAAACCACACAGACACCGACGTCCTTGCTTCATTCAGTACCACCGTCATAGGTTTATGCACAAGATTACAATTTTTTTTCATATAAATTCTCATAAAAATGCAAAATCACTTAAAAGTATCCCATAGTATTTAAACCGACGCTATCGACATGCTAGTTTATTCCTTTGAACAATTTATGAGTATTAAATTAATCATACTTAGCTTAAGCATATTGAGGGGTGTGTGTATAGGGACGTTGCGTACCCTGGGCCTCACCCTCGTAGGTGACATCGGCCACGTAACCAGAATCGCCGTTGACAGTGTAGGTGACCCTCTGGAGACGACCGTCGGGAAGGAGGACGTAGTAGGAACCCTGAGTGTTGGGGCCATCTCTAGCCTCCTGATGACCGAAGTCGTTGCCAGATGGAGGGTCGTTGACAGAGTAGTTGAAGTCGTACTTGGCAGGTCCTGAAGAGGGCGTTGTGGCACCATAACCATAGGAAGGTACGCTCTCAGGACGAGCGAGAGTAACGGCCACAAGGGCAGCGAGTGCAGCTAACCCCCAAAAAAAGAAAGAAAAAAGAAAGAAAGAAAGAAGAAAAACTCAGTTATACAATCTAGAATTAGCGCCTCCTGCACTAAGCAGGAAGCGCATCCTTGACACACATTTACAATGACATTCTCTTCCACGTAAATTCGTTTTCTCGCATCTCACTTTAAATGGCATTGTGTAAAGTAATAAAAATCTGACACAGTGAGTGATTCCTTCCGTTTATACACTTAGAGAAGTGAAGCTCTTCCCAAATGATGAGCATAAAAGTATTGCTGGAGGCGGAACTATGGATTTCATACACCCTGATGTTTTGTGACCATTTTTTAATTATTTTCTGGAGCCCTAAGAGATGTCATATTTTCATTATACACAAAGTATGTTCATCTATATATGTATGAATATATGTGTGTGTATGTGTAAAAATATATAATATTGTAAATATGTTGTATATGACATATATATATATATATATATATATATATATATATATATATATAATATAATATTTGTATAGATATGTATACACAACACATATTTACTGTATGTGTGTGTGCATATAAATGTATGGATGCATTTATGAATACACAGCTTTATACTGGACCATCGATATGCTTCCTGTGCACCGCCTACACAAACAACAAAGAATGATGAAAATCCATGTACATTATACCATATTGAGCTGTGAATTATATATATATATATATATATATATATATATATATATATATATATATATATATATATATGTGTGAGTGTGTGATGTGATGTGTGTGTGTGTGTATGTGTGTGTGTGTGTGTGTGTGTGTGTGTGTGTGTGTGTGTGTGTGTGTGTGTGTGTGTGTGTGTGTGTGTGTGTGAATATATATATATATATATATATATATATATTATATATATATATATATATATATATATATATATATCTCAGTGGACCTGAACGTGCATGAATATGCATATATATTTGCATCTAAGCATAACTTATGTATATATATTTTATATGTACATATATGTACACACATACGTGTGTGTGTCTGTTACATATACATGTACACATGCATGTATGAAAATAGTTAAATAAAATATTTCACAGAAAGTGGGTCTAAATTATGAAGCAGCAACAGTGCTTACAGATATCATGGTACGGTAATATACAAGTCCGCCCACAGCACTCTCCATCCACATCATTAGGGAGGAGCTTTACCTGCTTACACTATATAAACAGATAGAAAATTTCTCACTGCATCAAATACTCTTGTCATCACACACCATGGCATTTAAGGTGAAATCCCTGAGGACGGATTAGCTTGTCAAGAATGCGTGTTTTGGGAAAGATTTATTCTCTTTTTATTACGTTTGTGTACTTTCTGTTATGACAATCCCGATATTACAGGTAATTGCACTCGCTGCTCTTGTGGCCGTTGCTCTCGCCCGCCCTCAGAACGGCTATGGCGTCCCAACGCCCTCTGCAGGACCTGCCAAGTACGACTTCAACTACGCCGTCAACGACCCCACCATCTGGCAACGACTTCGGTCATCAGGAGGCCCGAGATGGCCCTAACACTCAGGGTTCCTACTACGTCCTCCTTCCCGACGGTCGTCTGCAGAAGGTCGCCTACACCGTCAACGGCGATTCTGGTTACGTGGCCGATGTCACCTACGAGGGTGAGGCCTCCACACCACGCCCCTATACACCCGCCCCTCACTATACTTAAATGCAGGATTTTATGACCTCTGTATATATAGTTTAATAAACTTGTACATCGATGACGTTGTCTTCTTTAAATTTACATTTGTATGAACGACGCAATGATTTTTTTTCCATTTAGTATCAAGAAGGGAGCTCTAAAAACACGAAACAAGAGACTTTCCTACAAGTCACAGGCTTTAACTGGATCTTTCATCTTTAGGGGTCGATGGGCACAATCATACACCGATATGGCATTGATGTGAATTTGTACCCGTTGATTTAAAGATACATATAATGAGTAAATATAAAGTAAAATTAATTTGCTGACTTAGTCTTTGAAAATTCATTATTATATATTATCTTTAGCTATAACTTTCCTTGAACTTTCCACGCCCCTATACACCCGCCACTCACTATGCTTAAATGCAGTGTTTTGTAAGCTCTGTATATGTAGTTTATTAAACTTGTACATCAATGACGTTCCTTAATATCTTTACGTGAATAACATAAACATGATTTTTTTTATAGAATGAAGTAATGAGCTCTGAAAAAAAACCTAATATATAAACGCTAAAACAATATACATGGCTATAACGATGAACATTTTGACATCACTTAGACCACTGTAAATTGGCCTTTGAAAACATTCTGTAATATAACTATGAGATTTTCTATCAGCAAAACAAACACATTTCCTTAAACTTACAGGCTGGAATACTAATTGTCACATAATCTGATTAAATTTCTTTTGTTTCATTTGTCAATTGCTTTGATATCGCTTCCTATGACTACATGTTTTAGTTCGGTGAGATAATCTAAGAAAATAAGGTGATATATTGGATGTATAACAAAACCATAATTTAATGACTGATAAATCCGTGGACAACAAGAGCAATATCGTCTTGGTTTGTGGTTGCCAGACTGTTTACACACGCGACCGCGACCCGTTTCTCAAACCACATTCACTACTCCCTGACATAAACTGTTCCAATTATGATTTCCGAACTAATGTTTTTTGGCGGAAAAAAGAAAATCAGTAATGGATATTCCACGAAGACGTGTCTCCATAGTATATTTATCATGAATACAAGAAAACCTGGCAAATAGGCCTACAATGTTTCCTCAAGACCCATCAAGGCATAGCTATTGGAAACCAATGGTCATTTAAGAAATTTTAGAGCTGAAAACTTGCGAGATGAGGTACTGGCCAAGTTCCTCGTCAGTGACATCAGTTACTATGGTGTCACGGTCGCTGTCCTGTCATTAACAGGTGTCTAGCGGTGTAACTGGTCATACTTGGAGGGTAATTTAGTAAATGTTAGAGCAATATTGTAATAGTGGCTTTCAGAAACAAAGAAAATAACAATAAAAGGAGTAGGTGTTTTATTTCTCGTAAGCGATGTCGGGGCTAATAGAGCAATGCAATCTATTTGCAGGGGAGAGAGGGAATTTGAGGAATGAATCACAAAATTATCAATTAAAGGTTCTTATGCATTGCGGTACATTGGAGAACTTCAAACACACACACACACATATACATACATACATACATACATATATATATATATATATATATATATATATATATATATATATATATATATATATATATGCATATATATATATATATATATATATATATATATATATATATATATATATTATATATATATATATATTATATATAGCATATATATATATGTGTATGTTTGTGTATGTGTATGTGTATGTGTGTGTATGTGTATGCGTGGTATGTGTATGTGTTGTGTATGTGTATGTGTGTATGTGTATGTGTGTGTGTGTGTGTAAATGTATGTGTATGTGTATGCATGTTTGTGAATATATGTGTATGTGTATGTGTGTGTTGCGAGTGAGAAAGTATACATACAAAAAACGCACATGCATAATTATGTGTATGTGTATATATATTCACACACACAGACACACACACACACACACACACACACACACACACACACACACACACACACACACACACACACATATATATATATATATATATATATATATGTGTGTGTGTGTGTGTGTGTGTGTGTGTGTGTGTGTGTCTATGTGTGTATGTATGTGTGTATTCGTTTCTATATATATACACATACCTGATATACACACATATATATCATATATATGCATATATATAATATATATGCATGCATGTGTGTATGTATATATCATATGTATATGTATATATATATATGTACATACACACCCATTTATATCAAGTCTATTCTTTGTGCAACAAAGGCCTATTTAATAAGCCACTGTTTTTGAAATATCAAGGTGGCCAGTAATACTCAGCTCCACCACAGCACTCTCCATGCTTATTTTGAAGGAGGAGCTATGCTTGTTCCAACTATATAAACAGATGGAATCGGTCTTACTGCATCAGTCATTCTATCATCACACACCATGGCATTTAAGGTGAGATGACAGAGATCAAGTGCCTTTTGCTNACTTCTACTACAGACTACTACTACTAGCTGCTATCTGGTCTACTACAACTACTAGCTACTTGCTAACTTCTACTGATATCAAACTACTACTAACCTTGGAGATGGGGCTACTTCTACTAGCACTACTACTGACTACTGGCTAACTTCTACTAATGCTACTACTATTTTTACTCGGCTATTCTAACTACAACTACGCTACTACTACCGCCTTTCTTTAGCTTTCCCGGCCTTACCCGTTGCCCCGACTTTCAATCCTCTCATCCCCACTTTGCTGTTTCCCTTCCCTTCCCTTCTCCCCCACTGCTTCCTTGCTGGTCAACCTTTCCCCACTCTCACCCTTGTGCTCGGCTCCTTTCGCCGACTTGCCGCCCTCTCTTTCTTATCAGCTTTCGCATCTTCCGTTGTCCCTTCCCCGCTACTTTTCCTCTCAGCGTCCGCCCTCTTCCTCTCCCCTCTCCCTCTCCGCTCGTCCCTTCACCTCCCTCTCCCTCTCCTCCCTCTACTCTCCCCTCTTTCTCTCCTCCTCTCCCCTCTCCCTCTCTGCCTCTCGCTCCCTCCCCCTCTCTCCCCCCCTCTCTCTCCCCCTCTTTCTCTCCCTCTCCCCTCCTCTCCCTCGTCCTCCTCATCTTCTCGCCAGTTCTTCACTCCCCCCTGAAGAATGCAATACACAGTCATTGTGTTTACTCAATGTTTCAATTACAGGAGCGCTGTGTCATGCAGTCATGGGTTGGCAAGCGGGGGGGGGGGGGAGGGTGAGAAAAGGAAGGGTGAGAGGGTGAGAAAGGAAGGGGGGGGAGAGAGGAAAGAGGAAGAGGAAGAATAAGTTAAGATGAAAGAATGAGGAAAGAGGAAGGAGGAGGCATGAAGGGAGAGGGAGGGGAAATGAGAGAGAGAGGGTGGAAGGGAGAGGGGGGAGAAATGAGAAGAGAGGAAGGAATGAGAGA